AAAAAAGTGACATTCATTCCATATGTATAAAAAGGTTCATGACAACGTAACAGGCAATGGTAGCCTACGCATTCCCCGATTCCCGATTTAATACTCTTTATATTTTGAGGGGAAGAAATAGAAAAAAGATAAACTTCCGTGAAGTTCGTATGTTTTAATTATTGAAGCTTTTCTAATCTGCTAGTTTTATGCAGCCACCTAAAATGATCAGTGTAACAATACAAAATTATTTAAAGGACCAAAAATAAAACGAGTGAGCACGCGTCAGTGTATGTCAGAAAAGCTTTATCAAAGGTTTAACAGAAAATTGATGCAAAGTAATCTATCCTTTTTTATTTTCTTCGTTTCCAGGCCTACCCAGCAAACACATACCGTTATTATAACGTTACAAAGTTACCATAACGTTAAATTTACCAAAAAAAAAAAAAAAAAAAAAAAAAAAAAAAAAAAAAAAAAAAACGTTATGGTCACGTTATGGTAACGTTATAAAACGTTCTGTGTTTGCCGGGTAATTCTAATGATATATTTAAAACAAGACTTGCACTGTGCATCTTATTTTATTTGATAAAACAGAACCAATGCTGAAATAGTTTTTAATAAAACGCAAAAATAAACAAATTAAAGCAGGAATTTGAAACATCAAGTATTTCATTGTTATTTTAGTGTAAGAAATAATTTCGGTAGAATTTGCAAAATAAAAGACTGTACAACTAATGTAAATCTAGAAGGGTCGTTTACGACTCCAGCTTTATTTTAGGATATTTATAATAACTTTGCCCTATACCAAAGCTGCGAACATATCATAATGATAGAAATGTAAACATGTGACAAATTCATGAAATTTCATGAAAAAAATAATGTATAATAGAAAAAAACACGCTGACAAATATGCGCCTGGGGCCTAAACGACCCCACCAGGAACGGAAGTCGAATGAATAGGGTTATGGCTTGTCACTCTATATAAAATGGTAGTAATCCATAAGCAGAAGGTCTTATAGCTGAATTTTTTGTCACAAACCATGCTTTTGTCTTTCGACGCCAAGTTTGAATTGCCGCTGCAAAACAAAGAAGGTATCATCTCGCAACGCAATTTGCATTTTAATTTAAATTTTGAATTTTTTCAGTGTCTTAATTTTACAGAGTTGATTACCAGAATTTTTGTGACAGCATATTTTTAATACCTGGGCAGCAGTTCATAATTGAGTATTGCAAAAACTAAATGACAGAATGACAGAAGATAAAATTGCGTTGGTACTAAAACTGATTTTCTCTTGAAAGTGATCATTTTTGTTGTTTTAATTTTCCTATGTAAGTCAAAACAGCTGAAACTTTACTGGTACGTGCCACACACTGATATGGAGACACTTTCTAGCTTAAACGATTAAATGTAATCAATAAAGTTGGTTACTGATAACCAACATTATGCAGAAGGTTCTACTGGCATTTTGATAAAATTCTCAGGATAGGTCCCAAATGGGCAAGACTTTAGTGGTATTTTCGTAATTAATTTATTTATTTACCAGCTGATTGATAATGAGAATTGGGCCAACTGATTCATTAATAATAGACATTTAACTAATTAATTAATGCATAACTAATAATAATTAAGGTAATTAATTTATTTCATAATTAATGATAATGAGAAATGAACTGTATGGTAGAAGTATGTCCACTCCAAGTGCATTTAAAGTTAAATATGAAGAATCCCAATAAATTTGGAAATGCACCAAGGAAAACTTTCATTATAAAAGTTTCAAGAGTCACTAAACTTCCAATTTTTTTCTCAACAAATACCTACAATAATCAATATACATTTCATTCATTTCATTTTTGTCCAAAGCAGTATGATGGGATACACTTTGACTTCATTCATCTGACAATAATATAAGACTGCATCCTAATTAAGCAAAATATCTGTATTTTTATCATGTTATACTCTTAATGTGATTATTTCTTCCTGAATGTGAATAAATCCCAGCCCTTAATAACAATTGAGAATATTTTACATTTTTTCATTTAAGAAATATATTCCATCATACATAATCACTTCTTAAGAAAAATTTGTGAAGCTAAAATGGTAGTCAATAATTTATCTCATACAGATGAATCTAAATTATTTTCACAATGTAAATGCACACCTGAAAAGTTATAAAAATCCCCCAAATTCTCTGAGGAAAATACCAGACAGTTAACATTAAAAACATGCCATAGGAGTACATTGTTACGACATATTTTCAATGAAAATCTGAATACCAGTAGGTTAAATTTCCAACCAAAAATTTAAAGAAAAGAGCAGTCTAAAGGTCTTTTATGGCTGATAGAGTGATCTATTCAGTTTATCCCTTGGCATGTCGAATTTATTTGAGTCGTATTAGAAAATAGTAGAAGTGGTTTACGTGTGTTACTGGGAATCCACGCGCCACCGATGCTCGGTTCGTACCTTTAAGCACATTAAAAATCATTTCAGTTCATACAAAAAGGTGTCAACATGCTTTCATGTATCTATAACAGGTTTTTTCACATGGGGATGCCAATGAACTGAATGTTCAATCTAGCAAATGAACATCTTGACTATAATGGGCTAAGATGATGCTTATGACAAATAAGCCTTTAATAATAATGGGATCATTAATTTTGGGTATGGTTTCTTACACACATATTGATAACTCAAAATTTAAACTGTATTGTCTTCAAATATTTACAGTGTATATGTTTTTCATTTTTGACCATGTATAATTAAATTGGTCAATATTGGTCAATCAAGCATTCCTTTCATTTCAAGAACAGATTTAAACTTTGGTACCGTCCATGTCAGTAATAAGGGACCGTAATAATTCCAGCGTCCAACTGGCATACTGACTTGCTTTTTCTGGGGTGAACCTCTTCCCATTGTATGTCAAGTTGTACCGCAGTCTGCCTTGGTAGGTGTGAACATAATGCAAAACTGTTTGTCCTTCTTGGAGGTTTACTGCTCTAGCGATATCTGTCACCTGCACATGTTTCCCTCCTCCTAAAACCAAAGAAATATTTTATCTTTGATTGCAAATTGGTATATATATATATATGTATATTTTTTTCCCTTTCTTTTTGACTAGTCACAAGATTGCAGGGTATGTTATATTATTTAGTTTAAATAACTGATGGTAGTTTTCTGACTCTATAACCAGGACAAAAGCTAACTTCCTTTTCATTTTACCAGGAGGAGGCATGTTGATCAGTAAAACTGATTGTGGAGATTCAATGGGAATTAGCCCTAATTCATAACAATATGGAAGCCAGTGATGTGTACTAAAAAATTAAAACCTGTCTGATATTAACAAACATCTATTAAACCCAATACAATACACAGCACCCATCTTACCTGACAAAATTCCAGAACAGTCACCCAGGTTTGAAATGCCAAAGCACCTTTGCTGTACAGCTAGACAAAATAACAGAAATTGATCAAAGTTACCTAAAAATCATTTGGATAAATTAATTCACAAACTATCTGACTGAAATTTCAAAACACACATCCACAGAATTTACTTTGCCAAAAAATATAAACAAACATTCCATTTCAAAAATGTGATGATCTGAGGCAAAGACTGTGTTAAGGTCTTTCCTTTGCTAATTACATGTACCACAAATTTGAATTTAGCTGTACAATTTTTTTGAATACTCAGAAGTCTGTTCACAAACCTTTGTTAATTAACATGCATCTACACAACAATAAATCAAATATTTAAACCCTGACTACTTATTTATTTTTTTATTTATCGTTAGTTAAAATAACGCAGGCAAGCACATAATGCTGCGGCGATTTGCCGCCTGCTTTTGAATTCATTTATTTTGTATATTTGTTTATCTTTATTATAGAAATAAAACTGTTTAAAATAAAAAAAAAAAATGACTACACCATGTTTATATTTTAACCCTAGACCCTTAATTAATTTATACATGCTAAATGTGTCCAAGTTTTAATAAACTGGTTTTGGGCTAGAAATTTGGCAAAAATCAAATTTCTGTTAATTTTTTCCCAATATACTGCACAGTTAAGATATAAAATCTGAGCATCTGTGTTGTAGAAAATGTACTTACATTTTTCCAGGGTGGTTTTCAGAGTAGCATCAGTCTTCATCCTTGACACAGTATAATTTGTTACACGTAGTTGCTTAAGCATTTCACCCTTATCAAAGGCTGTGTGTAGCTGACAACTTGTACGCCGAGCAGCATCCCAGAGATCCTCAGGACCGTCCTTGGTGGGGGACAAGGTCACAGGCATAATGGCCAATGAAAATAACATACCCAGTGCATTCTTCCCTTCATCTGTCTCACAGAAACGACGCATATTGACAGTGTGCTCTACCATCACTGTACTCTCCTGCAAAATTTTGTTCAATTCGTTTTCAAAATAAATACGTATTCAGAAAAACACTCAAAGCCTTCCAAGCCAGGATTTTCCCACCAAAAACTCATTTTAACAAATTTTCCCAGGGTAAACAGCATTTTCCCCCCTAGCCTTAACAACATTTAATTTTCCTTTCTGTCTCACCCCATAGCTCTGTAACAATTTTAGAAAAGGCCAAACATCAAAACCTGTGATTAAGTGCAAGTTTAAATTTCCAGATTCTCCATTTTTTCATTCCAATGATTCCACTTCCTGATATTGTGAGACTCTGGTGGCATGACCTGCATTGTTTTCAAACTGTGTCAATGAAGGTGGCTGACTACCAAGTATGGAAAGGGGAAAGGCAATGTTTTATTATTTTTTTGTGATATTGATCAATGCCGTTTTTCTCTGTCAGTTTTTGTTTAATTAATTGTTCACAAATCCTGGCTTGGATCACTGGAACGGCTGATGGGACAAACTGAAATATAGCACAAAATTTATATTGCAAAGAGAAAAACAATTACATACTTTTTATGATTATAAGTGAAGGGGTAAATGTAGATTTTTTTCTATAATTCAGTTCTAGGCATTTAGTGTAAAAAGAAATAAATCAAATGCTTTACAGCTTTCACTCTGAACTGTCCACTTCTGTTTCATTTAAGTAAAAACAATCACTTTTATATCTAACCCTAACATTGCCCTGGGGTTTGTCCCTGCCGTATATCATCCAGGCTGTGGCAGTGCTTGCAGCTGCAGTGAATGCTCCATGGATTGTTGTCAGCTGAGCTTTGCATCTTTTTCTCAACTGTGTGGTTTCCACCTCAGATAGGCCGTCTGTATAGACGTTGAAGGTTTGTAATGGAAGTGCATCAATCAGTGGGTAATGGAGAGCAAGGATATTAGGTTTGATAAACATCATATCCCAAACAGTCTTTCCAATTGCTAAATAATCGAACCAACCAAAAACCATGTCATTTTTTGGCATTAGATCAACCAGAGATGGGTACACTTTGGTGGCAGGAGTTTTGTCTGGTTGCCTTCCATCCATGATTTCATTCAAAATTTTCAGAAATTGCTTACAAATAGTCATGTTAGTAAATCCGTCAGTCAGTATGTGGTCAATACCAAAAGTCACCGCACATTTGTATAAGCTTCTCCCCCTACTGATTTCTCTTGGAGCAGGCTCTTTGCAATCTGTTGGAAGGAAGCACATCTTCCAAAGAGGACCTGTTTCAAGGTTGTATGTCTCCTTTAACATTTCATCTTGAGCTTTCCTCCAGTCTGTCTCACTGCTGATTTTGAAGGGAACTGAGCATGCTGTACTGTCCATTACCTCAAAATAATATCTGCCATCTTCCCCACTTATGACATGCAGGCGCAACAAGGGCATGGTGTCTTGTAGCAGTGCTGCCGCCTGGTGAACAAGGTCAACTGTCACAGGTGAATTTGACTCTAGGTGCCACGTGTATGCCAATGCGGTGGACATACCAGAGATGCTACATCTGGCAAGCAAATATTCTATGCAACCAAGTGGGCGCTTAGCAAATGGCTTAGAACCTATGGATGCCATGATGGGTGGTCAATGAATTGAGTGATGTGATCTGAAAAAAAATACTACAATATAGCAGTTTCTGTTGATACATGTAGTTATGAACAGATAATTTTTAATTTAGTTAACAATTATATATCTTCTGTACACAGTAGAGAACAATGGCTGGGTAAAGCCAGTAATAAGGTGCTCTCATTAAATTGTAGCCAAGGGCTGTCTCATTCCAAGAGCACAGGTAGGCAATTATCTTGTGAACATGTGTGACCTGTCCACTTACATACACTGTTCATAGTCATTCACTCATCACTCCTCATAGGCGCTAGACAAGACTTTAATTTGTATCTGAGGTAAATCTGACTCTATTTCTTTCATTCTGTTTATATGTTTATATCACATGTGACATTATTGGTTAGCTCTTCATTCTATACTCAGTATAATAATCTTCTGTTTAATCTGTTTGTACAAGAAAACTATTTATAACTTCAGTCGTCATTGATTCAGGTGAATAAAATTGGAAAATCAAATAGTGTCTATCTTATTTACATGGGACATTATATAACAAATCTAATCACATTTCATTAAGCAAAATGCTGAAACTGTGACCAATTTGTTTACTGAACATTTAACAAATTTTATGGAGCCTTCCCTGAAAATTTTCTGTTCTAACTTACTGCACATCCCTATAAGTCCCCACACTGATACTCCCCTGCAGTATCGATGTGGGGAAGCAATGTTGTGGGGGAGTATCGGTGTGGGGGAGTTACAGTGCACCTACATCGGTAATTTTACAGATGTATTGATGTGGGGATCTATTGGTGTGGGGTTGTATCGATGGGCATAATACAAAAATTTACTACGGAGGATTATTGGTGCGGGGGAGTACGTGGTGCAGGGGAGTAACGGTGTGGGGAGTATCGGTGTGAGGACTTATAGGGATGTGCAGTAAGTTAGAACAGAAAATTTTCAGGGAAGTATTGGTGCGGGGGAGTAACGGTGTGGGGATATACTGAATAAATACATTATAGTTTTAACTTGCTTTAGCCAAGTTTCTTTTGACTGGGTCAAGAAAGGGTTTGTTATCATAAGCCTCCTTATACAGTAGTAGAAATTATAGGTCCTTAACATTTCATGGACTTAAATGAAACATATGCACATATATGCACTACGTGTACCTTCAAGGTCACTGCAGCTACTGTTCAAAGGGAATGAAAATATGTTTGAATTAAAAATGATTACATACTTATATGTAAGAGTTTGTATGTACACATGCATGCTTGTATAAAAATATTTCTACATATTGTATATTGTTTGCCTGCTGTGTGTCTTTGTATATTAGTGTAAACTTACCTGGTTGAAGATGACCGATATTTTAAGGGTTGGATGGCATTGAAATCATAAGTAACTCTTATCAAGGGGCTTTCAACATTACTTCATTCGAACAGTGTGCTTATCAAACTAGGTCAAATAACCTAGGTCAAATAAAAAAGCCAGACAAGTACTGTAGTAATGATCAATGTACTGTACAACAAAAGTAACTGAAGTTATTTAACCCTCACAGTGCAGCTTACGATGACCTGCCCTTTCAAAAACAATTCTACACAACAGCTGATAAGTGCAATCAGACATTCTAGGCATAATGTACTGTAAGATCAAGGCTTATTATACAACAAATGATTTTCCCCAATCACCAATGCATTGTGTCTCATTTGCAAAATTTGTTTTCAGTGAAGTCCTTCTAAACTCCCATTAGAACTGCATGATAATCCAATCAAGCTGATTTCCCATTTGAACAGTATATGTCTATCCTAATAATAATTCTTGTGGGTTACAAAATAATAAATATCACAGACTTCTTGTGGCAGTACACACAGTAGGTTTTTGTCAATTTTCATGCAATATAATATATAATATAAACAGCAAAACAAAATTTTCCAGGCCTAATCGTGTTATTACTCAACATTATTCAGTTGTAAATAACATAATATCTTTTATTAGAGGGATAATAATTTAAAGTGACTGTCTGGAGGAGACATAAACATTCAGTTTTCCACTCAGCTTGTCTTCCTTCTCAATATAATCCCGCTCTTTCCAATTTATCACACAACAATCTACTGTTGCCAACATTGCTATACAGGCCCGTAGCCAGGGGGGGGGTTCGGGGGGTTCGAAAGAACAGCCCCTTTTGCTGGGAAAAGGTCCACTCTGGGTAAAATTTGATCTAGGTACATGAAGTTTTTATGAGAAAAGGTCCACTTTTTCAAAAAAAGAACCCCCCTTTTGAAATTTCTGGCTACGGGCCTGCTATATATACACACATGAAGAAAACAAGTGGTGCTATAATACAAATATATCTTACTGAGAAATATTATGAAAAAGAGATGAGAATTCTGCCCAGTTTAATGAATATATATATATAAATCCATTACAAATAAATAAGGTTTGTGTGATGTGCATTTAACATCCTTACCTTCCAACCAGAAAGTCATGTTATTGCTTCAAAGGAGAAGGTTTGAATCCCATAACAGATATATACATTTAGTTGTTTTATTTCAAAATTTCACTTCATTGCAATATTCCCGTCTTTTGTGGAGTAATTGTCAGGCAGTGTTCTCTAATGGATTTGACTGCTGGCCTTCATAAAGTCGACATTGGCAGATTGTAGTGTTCACAAATATAACGTGTAGTGTTCACAAATATAATTCCCAGACATGTAAATTAATTTGATTAGAGTCGATTGCTTGTGCACTCGACTCGTTTTATGGCCTTACCTGAAGTCATGTAATTTAAGTGGACGTGTGCAATTTGCATAATTAAAATTAGTATGTACCGCCAAATACTGCAGCACAGAATCCACCTAAAGATAAGAAATAAATATAAAAGACGTATAGAATTAATATCAGGACAGACTGAAGAAGACTCGAAGGTGACCGCTCGACGGAGCTATGGGAGACGGCTTAAAAGTTGGAGGCTTCACGTATAGAACATGTAGTTAGAGATCGTCAACCAATAAACCATTAAACTGGTCATTATGTGGACTTGGGTTTTCTTTGCGCTACTTCACGTAAATCTGACACGAACCGTGGAATTTTGAATTGCGTTATCCACTGAGTAAGTTTAAAACGTAATGTCCTATTTCGAGCCCACGCTTGAATTAAGCGTTCTAAATTATATAAGTTTAGGACATTCGTCTCATATGTATATGTAAAGGTACATAACATAAAATATGTTATGTACCTTGACATATACATATGATGAATGTCCTAAACTTATATAATTTTGAACGCTTAATTCAAGCGTGGGCTCGAAATAGGACATTACGTTTTAAACTTACTCAGTGGATAACGCGATCCAAAATTCCACGGTTCGTGTCAGCTTTACGTATGGTCGCGCAAAGAAAACCCAAGTCCACATAATGACCAGTTTAATGGTTTATTGGTTGACGATCTCTAACTACATGTTCTATACGTGAAGCCTCCAACTTTTAAGCCGTCTCCCATAGCTCCGTCGAGCGGTCACCTTCGAGTCTTCTTCAGTCTGTCCTGATATTAATTCTATACGTCTTTTATACTTATTTCTTATCTTTAGGTGGATTCTGTGCTGCAGTATTTGGCGGTACATACTAATTTTAATTATGCAAATTGCACACGTCCACTTAAATTACATGACTTCAGGTAAGGCCATAAAACGAGTCGAGTGCACAAGCAATCGACTCTAATCAAATTAATTTACATGTCTGGGAATTATATTTGTGAACACTACACGTTATATTTGTGAACACTACACGATGATGGCTATATATGTGTATAGATATGACTTGTCTGTACATAAAAAGATCATATGTGGCATAATTTGTGGAAGTGATTGAATTTTGTAAGAAAGTAGTGTAAATAGAATTACATTGCTAAAGTTAAACATGTTAATTTTAAAAAATGCCAAACTGTGGAGGTGAGCCTTTATTATAGTGTCCTTTAAAAATCAAATGGTGAAACTGTATGATGGACCAGTTAAAAATAGCATTTATAAAAGTGAGTGTATATAAATAAACTTAATGTAGATGTAAGAGGAGGGTCATAGAACATTCATATTTCTATTACTCTATTTCCTCCGTCAAATGAAGCGAGCCAAGCTCAGCCCTGCTGCCCTTATTCAAGTTTACCAAAGTATTGTGCGCTCAATTCTAGAATATGCCTGCCCTGTTAGAGACTGTCCAAAGTCATGCTTTGAAGATTATTTTCCCTGATCTACACTATGATGAAGCCCTGAACCTGGCAAATATGTGCACTTTAGATAAACAAAGGGAAGATCTGTACAAAACTTTCTTTCACAAAATAACTGAACCCTCTGACAAACTGAATCACATTTAATTGAGCAATCCAATTGTCTTTTAAGATCAAACAATAGATACAAAGTACCAAAATTTAAAACTGATAGATTCAGATGCTCTTCAATCCATTTGCACTTTTAAATTTCCAATAGTATAATGTTGTCTATTATCCTAAGTACAGTAATTTTAGAGTAGCAGTCTTTTAACTCAGTTTCATTCAAATATATAACATTTTATTATCATTATAATGTTCTTAACATACTATGTACAACTTCAACCCACTGGGTTGCAATCTTAATAAATTATTATTATTATATAATCTTATCCTTTGTTTTCATAACTATAGCTTTTATTCAACTATAAATAATTTCACTCTCCTGCTACTAGAAAATTCCTTGATGCTAAATGAGTTTTGCTGTTTGTGCAATTTCTTATTGCTATGATAAGAAAGAATTGTTATTCAATTAAATAGCCCAAGATGCAAATCTATATACCTACCACGTAGCTGGATGAGATATGCAATAGGTGGCAAAGAGGCCACAATACTGATTAAGCCAAAAAATTATCTGAAAAACTCACTGCAGATTGAAACCTGTTCACTATTTGACGTATGAAAATTATATACATGTACATGTACTAATGCAAATTTTCTTGGCCTAATCATTATGAAAATGTAACTATACTCAGCATTATTCAATTGAATCAGCTAAATTACATCATTTCTTTTATTAAAAAGATAATAAAAGCGACTGTCACAATTAGTTGACATAAACATTCAATTCTCCACCCAGCTTGTCTGCCTTCTCAATATAATTCTGTTCTTTTCAATTTATCACACAACAATCTACTGTTGCCCACATTGCTATGTACACACGAGGAAAACAAAACCTTATAAGAAATAATTTCATGACTATATGAAATGTACATGTTCATGCAAAAACAATCATCATGCAATGTTGACTTATGAAGGCCAGCAACCAAATCCATTAGATTGCTCCGTGAAACTGGGGGAATTGCAATGAAGTGAACAATTTTTATACATAATTATCATTTTAAAATAAAACATTATTAAATGTATGGGTACATATCTCATATGGGATGAAAACCTAAGAATCCTCTTTGTAAGAACTACGTGACTTTCTGGTTGAGAGGATGTTAGAGGGCATTCCCAGAGTTTTAGATTAATCTTAATAGATCGACCTAACTCCCTGTCAGCCGACCGCGCACGGAAGTTAATTACCCCCATGAAGCTTGTAGTAGGCAGGACGGACATTTCAGCCGGATCATCTGACAGTTATCTAGTGAGACTCCCCACGGGGAAAGATCGATCTAAAATCTATGGGAATGCGCCCTTAGTGACCACGTACACGTCACACAAACCTAATTTGTAACACACTTTTATTCATTAAACTGCAAGAATTCTCACTTCTCTTTCATCATATTTCTCAGTGAGATAATTTGTATTATTGCATTACTTCTTCCAATGGCATTATTCATTGTGGGTATTCACAATTATTGAGAATGAGTTTGGTCACAATAGCTAATGCGCACTAACTCTTCATAATGGAGGAATGAGAAACAACGCATGGCTTTTTATACTAACAGTAGATAGAAAGTCTGTAATAACTCCAATTTTTGCTGCACTTTTGTTTACATTTCATTTGAAAAACAGCTCAACTTGCTAATATGCCCATAATATTTGGTGATGATCTTGTGCAAAAGATGTACAAAGTCATCATTCATGTAGGTACCATGGTACCTCCTCACAGTGGCACTTAAGATGAGAACGATACAGTTAATGATTACATACTGTGAAATGTGTTTATTAAGCAATATCCAGACTCCAGGAAATATATTAATTTTTGCAGAAAATAAGTAAGGTAATTTAGAACATGACAAACATTATTATATTGATTTGACTTGGGTATCCATTATATAAAACTGGACATGTGCAGTACTGAAAGGACCTTCGTAAAACCTAAGAATGTCTAAAAATACTCTAGCTATCTCATTACCTGTTCACTGACTGGCTTAATTTTTGTTTCTGACTTCTACAAAGAGTCCTGGCTACTTCCCAACAAATTACTTTGGGTGTGCACGACATCACGTGCACCACGTGCACCACGTGCTACATGTGTTCAATTTAATGCTAGCATGTGGTCCAAAAAATCTCTCCATCTGATAATTCTTTATTGGATGTTGCATTAAGTAAGGATCCTGATACCTCTTCAACATTATCTGAAAATATCAATTCATTTCAATCATTTAAATAAAATTGAATAAAACTTTTCTACAGATACCAAACAGCAAAAACATTCCAATTATATTTAGAAAAAAAGAAGAAAGAAAGGAAAAAAATAATAAAAAATAATCCTTTAATGCCAACTATCTAAAGTAACCCCTTTTTTTCCTAACAAAGCTATTGAAGTTCAAGTAAAACAAAAATTTTGTTAAACACTAATGGGATGTACCATGTCAAAATACATGCAAAAAAAGTATGAAAACTCTAAATAATTAAATAATTATCAAATTTACCAAGATCAAAGACAATAATTACACTATCGACTAATTGAACCTGTACACCATATATAATGGAATGTTAAACTATACTGACAGTCAATGAAAACACATCATTTATTTATCAAGTAATATTTTAAGTTCCTTTGGCACATTAAGAAAATAATAGTTTTTCGTGTGAAATGTGTGAAATATGAAATAGTGATCACCCCACTCTCTTATGACCAGACAAGTGCATTTGTACTTGTTTAAATGGTTGGAATCGATTCTCCGTAAAAAAGTACAAGAAAGTTTTCTGATGAGTTTTCATTGACTAGCTATCAGTATATGTGCATAATAAACTAAACCACAGTACAGTATATAGCTTTCAGGAAAATGTCACTTCCTGAAGGCTTAAAATTAAGCTGATAAAAGTACCAGTCATTTCAGTCAAGCAGATATTGACTTCATTACTGTTAAGCAAGTTAATTTTGCAGTAATATGCATCACAATGGGCCATTATTTTGCAAAAACAAAACAAAAATAACTTTTAAAAATATAAACATAAATTAATAAAAAATAACAAAAACCATCCAAATATGATTACAATATCATCATGCGAGCAGTTAAACCCTTTTCATAAATATCTTTTATCATATAACATTATTAAATCATTAATAGATAATGATATAGTACAGGTATTTTTGACAGTATACAATACTAGCCTGCATTCTGCAAGGAGGGCAAGTGAATAATAACTTATTTAAATTGTCATTACCACATACCTTGGGGACCTTTCCCACATATATTTGGATCAATCTATCTCCCTGGGGAGTCTCACTAAATTGCTGTCAAACTAACCAGCTTAAACGTCTGTCACACCTAGTAAAACTGTTAGGGGTAATTATCTTTATCCCTAGCTGATTCGGTAGGCACTTAAGCCTCTTGAGCTGATAGCAATTTAGCGTGAACCCCCAGGGAGTTAGGTCGATCCAAAATAGTTGTAGAAACACATACAGTACTGCACCTGTTTAAACTTGGACAGCAAAGCATGTGGAATGGCAATAGTCATGCACTCATAGGTTACTTCTTTTCAATGTTTTGAGTATTGTTAAAGTTAATTTATCTATATACACATCTGAAATGTCACTTGTGTACAAAATAGGCTTTGGAAAAAATAAAGAAAAACATCTAAATGAATGCTACCTAAAGCTGGAACGTAATTAATTTGCACAACTTGTTGTCTGGACAACAATTAAGGGCCTAAATGTCTGAGATGCACAGTGCATGTGTCTCTCTTTCATTCTCCTCACAGAATCAAGATAACTTAAGGTAATGTGCTTGTAATTTGCTCAATCTCAGACACAATATGCACACGGACTGGTGTTGTGAGGCAAGAAGAAAGGATAATCAGCTAAGTGCAATCCTTTCGCAAGGCCAACTGCATTCGGATCACGTGTACATGTACTCCAGTATAAGTACAGAGTGATTGCACTTTTTGTCTCATTTTGACTGGTAGATCCAGACCAGGTGAGACAAATCTTTGGGTAGATGAGACAAGGAGCTCATAGAGATGAAGTGTAAGTACAATTTATTGTATCATTGTAGATGCTAGATGAGAATTTTATATGTTAATTCATGAAGGAATTCAAAAAGCCAAATCTTTATGAAATTTTCATTTTTCACATATTGGCATTTTCAGTATGGGACTAAATTTAGAACTCCCACGGGCATGAAGCCAAATGATAGTCAAAATGTCATTATTATGTAAAGTAGATAATGGGTTTTGTAATGAAGGTTATGAAAAAGAATTGGTAAATGAAGAAGCAAAATAAAATTGTAAAATATGATAATCTTTATAATGCAATGCATGTATATTAAATGGGTAATGACCAAAATAGAGTGTTTAACTTACAGCACATTCTCCCATTATTACAAGCTAAAATGAGAAGGATTTAGAAAAGAACTAAATACATAAACAAGCTAACCAGGCCCGTAGCCAGGGGGGGTTCGGGGGGTTCGAAAGGACCGCCCCTTTTGCTGGGAAAAGGTCCACTCTAGGTAAAATTTGATCTAGGTACATAAGTTTTCATGGGAAAAGGTCCACTTTTTCAGAAAACGAACCCCCCTTTTGAAATTGCTGGCTACGGGCCTGCTATCCATAGCAATTAAATGGACACATTAAATTTGATGACTTTAAATTACAACTAAATAAATAAACAGATGAAAAGACAGAGAGATTTATGTTACAAAGTTACAGTAAGGAGGCACAGAAATGTTGAAAAAAGTTCACAACATTTCCTAAATCTTGAAAGAAAGACATAATGGTATTAATGCAAACTAAAGTATTACAAATTCAAAGACTGACAAGTATATTGTGTAAGATTACAATTTATCTAGAATCATATTTTGCAAGTACCTTTATTATTAGTATCAACTGATGTATTTACTTTTTTTTCTCCCTAGAATGTTATTTTGCCGCACAAGACAGAAATGAAGTTTTCCTGTTGTGGCAATGATGTAGATGTCAGCAGGAGAACTGTGCATGCGATAGCAGGCATAAATATAAGGGACATCATTCAAGCCCTTTCAGGTTGACACAGAAGACACCAGTGGTACAAGTGGTGATTTTTAAGCTTGCCTCAAAATGGACCAAGAGCATGATCTGCAAGAGACAATGGGCTTTCCATTCCTGCCCTTAATACCTACGATAATATTCATGGTAGCACTGATCATCATAGGTACTGGTGGAAATATGATTGTTGTCTTTGTTTTTAGTTTAAAAAGAAAAAAGAGCACTGCAAACTACTACCAGTTCATTCTGGCCATTTTGGATCTTTTTGCCTGTGTTTTTCTTCACCCATATTTAATTTCCAAACTCTTCAATATGGACAACCAGACCAATGTGGTTCTATGTAAAATATTTGAATTTCTGATACACGCCAGTTTGTTATCAGAAGGACTGGTGCTAGTGGCAGTTGCAGTGGACAGATATTATGCTGTTTGCCAGCCATTGAAGTTTGTCAATGCTTTTGACAGAACCAAGGGGATGCTCATAGCTGCTGTCGCAGTGGGGGTACTGTTTAGCATCCCCCTACTGAAATTTTATGGTGTTCATACTGTGCAACAGAAGCCAGTATACAGCCAGTATAACCATACAGTGACAAGATATTTGTGTGATTACAGTGACATTTACCAAGGTTCTCTCAGTCAGGGTGTGTTTGGTGCTGTTGTCCTTGTTATGTTTTGTGCTGCCGTGGTAACAGTTTCAGTGCTTTACTTGGTGATTGCCAAAACCATTCATGACCGTCATAGAAGAGTTGAACCTATCAGAAGTATAAGTGCATTTATGACAAAGTCTGGCCCATTGGTTAAAAGATCACAGAAAACAAAAGTTGATTCTAAAAAACAAAGTGTTGGTGCAAATATCCCTTCAAGATATTCCACTGGAACTTCAACCTCTGACTCCATATCAACCAAATTTGCAGCAAGAACAGAGGAGGTTACCATGGAAGAAACCCAAGCCAAAAAGGTTACTAGTACAGTTTGTGAACATGAAGAGGACATAAACAAACCAAGAAAACTTAACAAGAACACTCCTTTAATGATTAAAGTCCGTTGTGAATGCCACCATGCAAATTCATCTAAAACAGAGCTTATCAATGATAAGAGTGAAGAAAATTGTGAAATTATTGATGATGTAAAAGTAGTTAATCTTGAGCAAGAAAGTGGTACCTCAACAGAGCAGAAAAATTATAACATGAAAGAAAGCACTAATCAGCAGGATAGCAGCAGCATTAAAAATGACAATCATCCTCAATGTCACAGCCCAGTCAGTATTAAAACTAATGACAGATTAGATGATAAGGTTGGCAAAAGGGATAATTCAGCCAAAGAACATGAAAAAACAAGTGCTTGGAACTGGCCAGATAAGCCAAAGCAGTTAGCCCCCAAGGGTGCAAAAGTCTTGTTCTTAGTAACACTAGTGTTTGCATTATCATGGGTACCATTTTGGGTAATAAAATTTGCATCTCTGATAAACCCAAATTTTTGGCCAGAGAAAACATTTGTTGACATTGCTTTTAAAGTACTGTTGATGCATGCTTTCTACCTGAATAATGCTATTAATCCTATCCTCTATACCTTAATGAACAAGGCTTTTGCTACGGATCTCAGAGATGTTGTTAGGACAGTTAGGCAAAGACTACAGCCAGTACTTTGAACATGAAAGTTGTTTGTTTAAAGTAAAAAATCCAGCAATTGAAGCGGCATGACTGGGAAAAACACTGACAAGGCAGTGGTATCAAAAAGGAACCTTTTGACTAAAAGGAACTAACATTTACTAAGAATAATTTTTAGATAATGAGTGACACTTTGGTACATTTGCATACATGCTCTTCATATTAGGGTGAATAGTGAGCGTACGTAGCATCCTTAAAAAAGAACAGTGCAGCCGTAGTGGAAATGGAACTGATAATGATTTATAGGGCAAAACAGTTTGGGTGGTGTGTGTTTGAGAGTGCGTGAGTGCATGTGCGTGTGCCTGCACATGCAGACATTGAGAAACTGTCAGTCTGACAGGTCATGACTGCTTGAAATGCCAGAGGTCCTGCAAGACTTTTGATAATAGGTACTCATGACAAGCAAAGTTTATGTACAGATACAATTCTTCTTCTTCAAAAAAAAAAAAAAAAACATAGATAAAATATTTAATGTGGGCTAGGACAGAAATATGGGAGGACCCGCAGAATTCTCGTAGTGCCTTTCCTCTCGACCTTTAGTATCTCCAAAAATTTCTCAGTGTCTGCATATATGGGCCTTAACAAATACTAAATGCAAACAGTAGTAAGATCAATTGCAATTTCATTTCTTTAACAAATTGTTTTTCACAAAAAAATGAGGTGAGGCTTGAGGGCCTTTGGATACATCCCTTTCTTTCCTGCGTTGTTTTTATAATGAATTTTGTTTCTAATGATTCAGAATGACATTACTAGTAAATATATTTAGCCTGTAACTGAATTATACTATTGTCATTGAATGCAGTGAGTGTATATATTATAGGCATTCATATTATCCTCATATTTTCTAAAATAATTATGATTGCAAAATTATATGTAAATGGACTTTTGGCATCTACGTCACCAGAGAGTGCTCCATACATTGCACTATGTAGAGGGTATATAATATATTAGGGATAAATTGTCAGCACATTTGTAATTATTCCATTACTCAGAATGTCAAGCTGTATGTGATACAGTAATTGTCACCATTATTAAAAAAAACACCTGACAATCACTGTTAAATATCAGGTGATAATAAAAATTCTCAAATGTCCACCTTTTTTTTCAATGCACATTTATGTTCGTGTAATTAGGAGTATTTTCTTCTGTGCATGAAAATATTGTATTTGTACCTGTTGTTCACTGCAACTGACATGCTGTCATATGAGAATTCTTCATTTCTGACAAATAAATATTTGAAATGTGAAAAATAACTGTGTTAAATGTTGAGTACTACTAACAAAAATAACTGTTTCCATATTTCCATGTCATTTTCCCCATCCTATCAATAATACCAGGGCTCTGCCACTGTTGCTTATGCTTATTATTTCAATATCACAATATATACATACTGTTTAAGTTTAGAAGTTAAGTCCTTTAATTTATTTAAGTAAATACTTACAAATGCTGAATCCCACTTTTAATTGGGATAAACATGAATTTGCCAAGGAAACTTTGGTACAAGGGTAGCAGTTATTACTAAAGGGCAGTTCTGAAAATAATAAAATGTTTAAAAACTTAGTTGTTTAACACAGTCAAATTATATTTATTTATCTAATTTAGTAACATGTCAAGTTTCAATGCTATTAATTATTAGCACTATAACGGAAACAACTAACACATTTTATGTATTTAGCCGAGGGCATGAATCACTGACTCGTTATTTTATTTAAAAATTTTTTTATGATACAATCAAAAGCAGAGACACCTAAGTTCACTGGTGATGCTTCAACAGCATTCCTTAGACTCCCCCTTGTGTACAATGAATGCTGTCTATGATATGGCTCTGAGAATGTCAAAGTTGGAGTAATGTGTAAACAGCAATGGCTGGAGGTATATGATGCAGTTCATAGTTAGTATCCTATAACTACTCATGTCACATGGCAGATGTGGTATTTTATTCTGTTATATGGAGCGAGGCAAAGGGATACACAATGTTCTCCTTTTACTTGTGTATATCTGCATGCAAAAATGAAAGTTAGGGACATTGGGGGGGGGGGGCGTGGGGGGGAATGGAGGATAAGATTGGGGAGAGGTATTTTCTGCAGGTTTTTTAATAATCAGCAAAGAGGATTTTAATGTCAATGCATTACCATCCACAATCATGCACCACTTACAGATTTGACAATCTTGATTTGTTGATGAAGGCATATGGAGCAATATATTGTATAGTAGTATAGGTCTGTGTACAGTAGTTTGTAAAAATCAGTGCAAATACATATATTTTTTTACAAAAAAATGCCCATTTTTAGAAAATTTTGACCTGTTTGACCTTAGAAATAATGGTCAAAGGTCAAATCCAAGGGCATATTTGAAATTTCCAAATATGACTTTGGGTCAACCACCTATAGTAATTTTTCCCATAATTCCTTCGGTTTGGGAGACATTTAGCATTTAATTTAGCAAATTTTGGACAAGGGAGCATTGCAATGAGCACCACACCTAGACCTGAGCACCGACAAAGCCCAAAATTTACGTGGATTGAGTTGAGATTATATGTGACCTAAATCCAAGAGATAGGTATGCAGGCTCTTGTAGTCTTGAAGGAGAAGTGGTGGAGCTGGCAGATATGGCAGACCAGACGGGTCGGGACTAAAACCTACGCTGGTGGTACAACAAGTACCTGTAACCATTACATAAAGATCCTTGCAGTGTCTGAATTATGAAACAAGCACTGAACAAAACGAAACAATGAATATAATATTAGTGTTTATTTTTAGGCATAAAAAGTTGCCATCTAATTCACGACTTCCCCACAGAGCTTACTAGAATTAAGGTAATATTTTCAACCAAAATGAAAAATGTAACAAAATTTACATCCTACAAGTCTCTTAAGTCATATCAATTTTTCAAATTCTTTTGTTCTAAGTCATATTTTCTCTTTCCTGACACCATTTCTCTCTTTTCCTTCTTTTTGAGCAATGTCCCAGTTTTATTTTAATTCAACTCATAGTAGAAACACAATGAGCGCATTCTCAACGAATTAAGCCAGGCTTTACAAAGCCAGTGACCTAAAAATGGCGGACGTACATGAAAGAAAAACCGCCTAATCTTTTAATAGTCTCTCCGCCTCCCCACACGTCGTCCCTGCGGGGTACAGTAATTAAATCGCGTCTCCGTTCGCCATGCGGAAGCTACCTGAGAAATATTAAGTGCGCATGCTTATCAGTTAAACTCGTGATGAAGAAAGCATGGCGGCTGAAGGCGATCGAAGGAAAAAAGCTCTTCTGTTCTATTATCTTTGAAAACAGAGACGAAAAAGGAATAATTTGGCCCGTAGAGCAGCAATGAATCGACTATCTACGGAGATAATATCACCAGAGATATTCACGGAAATATTAATGTTCGGAGCCGAGATTTAATTACTGTACCCCGCAGGGAGGACGTGTGGGGAGGCGTGTGAGAGGCGGAGAGACTATTAAAAGATTAGGCGGTTTTTCTTTCATGTACGTCCGCCATTTTTAGGTCACCGGCTTTGTAAAGCCTGGCTTAATCCGTTGAGAATGCGCTCAATGTCATGTAATTTTTCTACTTACATATAAAAAAAACTTAACAGAAAAGTGTGATAAAATGTAAAGTTCTACTAGTCTCTTTGGCTTTACTCTGAATTCATTTTGGTGTCACACTTTGTTTCTTTATTTTCCTTCTCTTTGAGCAATGTTCCAGCCACCACTCCAGCAAACATGATGGCACCGAGCCACTTATTAGAGCGGAACTTCTTCCCACAGTCTTCTGGGTTGTTCAAATCAACTGTGTATATCTGAAACACCAGACAAAAACAATCAGTACAACAAAATGAAGTTTGGTCAATGCTATCTATTAAATAACATCATTCATTCTATTAGAGGGTCTTTTAAATGAAAGAGGCCATCGTCGGCCAAGTTTCAAACATCATATTTGTGTTTATTTTTTATTGTTGCTTACATATGTGAATGAGGAGGCAGAAGATTTTAATACCCAAATGCTTCCTTTACTGAAAATCTTTGAAATAGTTTACATTGTGACACAGAATACCCTTTTTGTTCAATTTTTTACTAACAGGTACAGATTGAAAAAATAACAACACAAATACTTGTTTGGAGTTCTAAGTTTTTATTTTAAACTATAATGAGTGAACTTCACCAGTCTCTATCAAAATTACCAGTGATTAAAAAAAAACTAGAAACTCGGAATTCAAAAATAGCTTTATGCATCAAAATTCTTACAATGGTTTTGGGTATGGTATCAAAGTAATTGAGAGAAATGATGAATTTTCCGAGATAATTAAAATTGTCCTGTGTGTGGTGTGTGTGTGTATGTGCATGCATGGTATAACACTCATTATGTGCATTTTAAAGTAGGTAATCCTACAACATTTGATAACTAAATGGAAAATTCCTACCTGGTGTACTAAGTGAGTGGCCACAGCCCCTACTCCAATATAGTAAGGCCAGGTTTGTTCACACATATAACCAGTTAAGGTGAGGCAAGTTATCATTGCACTGCTAAAACCAGTCAGCCATGGCTTGGTGCTATCTCCAAGCTTAAGAGCTGTGGACTTCACTCCAATTAACAGGTCATCTTCTTTGTCCTGGGTTAAAATTAAAAGTGAAGAAAAATAGATTGAGATATTTATTTATTATTTTTTGTTGTTGTAATAAGAGTATTCATTTACACTTTATTCAAATTTTAGTGGAACATTTTGACAAATTTTATCTTCATAAATGAAATTCTTTAAAAAAAATATTTAAATATACAATATAGTGGTGTTCCTTTTAATATTTTCTACAAGTCTTTCTTCATTTTGAAACTGTTTTTCATGCTCTAGTTAGCTGGTTCTGGTTATTAGTTTGGAGCTAAGGAAGAAATGGGTATGTTTACAGGTTAGTCTTTTCGGTGGTGATGGAAGCCATGCCTAAATGCACTATGATGCAATAAGTTTGAAAAAAGTAATCAGCATCAACTGAGATGACAAGATGAAAAAAAAACAAACTGAAATATCATAATCAGATTCTTTAACCAAAACATTCATGAATTTTAATTTTTTTCTTTTAAAAAATTCCAAAAGACATATTGCAATAAGAACATGTATAATTGGTGACAAAATCATGACCATATAAGAAACCATTAATTAATTGTATTCAATAAGTAACACGAAGATTGGTAAGCAGAGTCCTCAGAATGTGATGATAAAAAATTAAAATGAGGATTTATTGAGTCAAAGCAGGTCATTTTGACTTTGATAGCTGAGTATTGTGAAATCAATTGTGGGGATAACCCAGAAGCTTGCAAAGACAGAAGTGCTTCTTTTATAAAGCCGAGGCAAATAAATGAGAATGGTATCTTATTGAAATGCATGTCACAGTCACTTCAAATTAATTCTTTTGGGACAGAGTAAAAAATTGTAGAGCTACTTTGGTTTTAAAATTGTCTGAGGAAAGATGTGTTAAGTGCCACAGGGTGTATTTTAACATGTTATCAAAATAGCCAAACACTTGGAACCCTTTCCAACAGAACACTATATATCATTTTAAATTAGCCTTATTCATTTTGACACTGTCAACTGCAATGACATGTTTTGACATATATCAAGATGTAGCATCACAGTCAATGGGTATCAACCAAGATGGTCCTTAAGTTTTGCAACTAAGAAAAAAAAATGTGAGATTCAGGATTTTAAGTAAAATTGGGATTAGAAATAATGGCATGAGACATGAAAGGGTCTTCGTAAGAGGGGGGAGGGGCTGTCTCAAACTGACTGCGTTCAGGTAGGTCCCCAATCCCCCTCTCCCAGCCCCAATTAGAAATACTGTATTGTTTGTAAAATGTACTTCTTCTATCAATAAAGTCTTAATTTAAAAAGATTATTATTCCAATGAAAACATCCACAGTCTGGCAGTACTTAGTGTAAAAATCTTGTAACTTCAATTTCAGTAAGCTGTAAGCAAGCTTGAACCTTCACAAGTTAAAACATGCGTACATATAAAGCATAAAATGTAACAATTTACAGCAAAAGAAACAGGATGGTCTGAGTAGTGACAACAACTAATTTACACTCAGAATTACAACTGGATTCTAACATGTGGTCTACAGCTATTTATCCACTACATGGAATCTAAGCTTTGATTGTCCCAGAAACACTATACATACTTGGTGTGCGTAGATGGTGTCGTACATTAAAGTCCATGCTATGCCGGATATATAGAGGGGGAGAACAACACTCCAGTCACTATTTCCGTGAATCGCAGCCCACCCCAAAATGGCACCCCAGTTGAAAGTCAACCCTACCAACAGAAAGTTGAGAGAAAAAAGCATGTTAAGTCAATGCAGTGGTTTCACATATCCGCACCCAGTATGAGGCATAAAAGTCTGAGGGAAAGTTTCCTGAAGTGGTCCCTGTTTGTTGTTCTGGGTCAACCAGATGCTGCTGGAATGGTCATTTAATACAAGACAAAACAGTAGGACACATTATTTTTCTTTCTTACTGAATATTACTTTTGGGGGGAGACATAATGTGGGGCAGACTTCACTTGAACAAGGTAAAATCCTAGCTGGTGCTGGGTCTTGAAAAAAAATTGAAAAGTATGAATCCAGTTTTAAATGACTGCATGTCCATCATAGTGAAAAAATAAGGGTAAAAAAATTTATATACCACTGTGGCATTTTACACTATTCTTACAACCAGGTCTTATTTTGGGGGCATGTATAAGGAGGTGACATACAACATCAAGTGGCAAGACCACTATGCAAATGCCAATTAAAAGCAAGAGAGCAAAATAAAATCCATCATTCATCATCAGCCATGAATGCTGAAATAAGCCCTTTCCTGCAAAGCATACAACTATAACATAAATGGACCCCACTTTGTACAAACACGACAACAGCTGTTCTTGTTCATTTTCTGGAAATTCACTCATATACTACAATACTGTTTAGATCAGAGAGCATCGCATAAAATTTAACTATTATTAGAAGTGTGGTTATTTCCAGAAATGAATTCAGAACGACCACTGACATTACAACAGGTCTATGATATAAGAAGCAGCTATATAAAAACTGTCAAGTGAAATTTATTCTCTGCAATGTTTCTACAAAAAGCTGAACTACCCACATGAAAAGCCTACTCTGTATGGTAAATTATTTTAATGAAGTCAACAATGACAGATGTACATCAACAATAACAATGTGAACAAAGCTGATGAAATGGAAGCAACAGCTCTCTAAAGTTAATCTTTCCAAAAACGTTGAACTTTCAAGACCAAGTCAGCAAGCCTGATTTTATTAGAGCCTTTTTGCAAATCCAAAATAAAGATCTATTTGGGAAGGAGGCCATATCTCCGGTCCTTTCCTCATCCAAATAGGCTTTGTTCATGCATCACAAACACTGCAGAAAATAAATAAGCAGAGAGTGTAGAGGCAAAGAATTGTTCAGGGCATATATATATCTGGGTACTTCATCATCTCTCTTTTCGAACCTGATGAGAATAAATTGTATCATAGATCATAGTGTAGAGTGTACATGCGGAGTACAGCAGGACACTGGGCAGTTCCAACTGACCATGGATTGCTGACCAAGCAATAAGCACACCCCAGTTTAAAGTCAGACCTACAACAAAAAAACCAGCAAAACAACTAATATATGCAGAACACAAATTCATGAATCAAGTGGTAATCTTGATGATGTATTTAGCATGTATTTTAAACGTGAAATCTTTAACAATAATTTCTGGTCATATTTGCAAACGAATGCTACTTAAAAATTATCATTATAATCAGTGTTGTTTAACATAAAATGTTTAACTGGAAAAAGGCTATTCAAGATCAATAACATATAAAAATTTCATAAATAAATACAATTTTAGCTACGTCATCATCTCTATTACATATATAACATGTATTTTTGTGAGAGTTCACTCTAAGACAATTTTTAGCCAAACAGCTGAATAATTGGACAAAAATTTGAAAACAAATTAAAGAAGGACAAAAAAGGACAAAACACATTGTAATTCAGGAATATTTTTATGTTTTCATATTGTTATCCCAACACTATAGATATTTCTTCACTTACTCAGAAATATCATTTACTCTGCATTATTTCAAGATTTATCATTTTTGTTTTTATTTGATGCTTTTCAAATGAGATTCAACAATATTGCCCTGGGTGTTTTTAGGACTGTACTCTTACTGGAATAAGAGAAATTAGTTTCAAAAACTTGTGTCAACATTGGGATATAAAGTAACAAAGAGCCAATTTCTACAAAATGATACGACTGCTACTGAATCCAGTCTGTTAATGAATTTTTTAAAAATATAAAGATTTGAGAGATATGAACTTACCCAGAAACAGCTGTGGCCAGAATGTGACTCTCTTCATCAATGGATAAGTGACTACCAAAAGTAAAGAGCTGGCACCCAGGGCAACGCTGTAAGATTCCAATAGAAAAAATAAAATAAATTAATGCACTGAAGCCAACTATATTATTCAGTTGTACCTTGGTAAGGACATTTATGCAAATAAATATCTTTCCAGTTTCTATCTAGTTGATAAATGAAACAGAAGCACCAATAACACCCTAATGACACAAGGATTGCATGACATTTGAACACTAAATAAATAAAATATGCAATTTAAAAAATCATTTACCTGTACCAATTAAAAGTAAGGAGGATTGCCAGAGACCCTGATAAATTCAATGCCAGACAGCCCAAGGCCTGGTAGAAGTTCAGTTCTCCACATGCCAGTGGTCTGTCTTTTGTTCTTTCCACCTACCAAAGGTATCATATAATTAAGATCAATACAAGGACATCACTCGAACCTGAAAATGCAGTTTTAGAACATGGCAAGTTCTTGTTTTGCCTTCTTCACCACAAAATGCAAAATAAATAAAAATATGTACATCTTGGCTGCATAAAAACAACATTATTATCACTGTAGTATGTTGCAGTGCTATCTTGTAACTATAATAATATTTATCTGTATAACTACATATTAACTAAGCTTTATATTTTACTCTCTTATAAAGAATGCTCATATAAAATTGCATTAACTTATATTCAATATTAACATGTATTTTGCCACTCAACTTCTGTTGCACTTAGTCATGCACTTGCATGTATTGATTAAATTGAATCAATTTGAGTTTGCCAAAATTATCATATGTTGCAAACATGTGAAGCAAATGGAAATTTTCTTTACACATATATCAGAAACATGATCATACAAATTTACAGATACCTTTCCAGCCTTCCTGATTACATACCATCTTATCAAAATCCTTGTCCCACATGTCATTGATGATACAGCCAGCGCCCCTCATCAGAAAGGAGCCCAGGCCAAACAATGCCAGCATGGTGGGGTCAGGGAGGTGCCCTGCCTCAGCAGCCAGTCCTATACTCCACGTACAAGGCCAAAACAACAACCAAGTCCCTAAAGAAAAAAGTTAAATTATTAAAATAAGTCTTCACTTGCTATATTGATGTCCAGATTTAATTATGCATGAATTAGCAATACTCAATAATTAGCCAACTGTCCTCTAATTTCACATGAATCACCAAATCTTCTCTAAGGTGCTATCAAAAAATACACTATCACTTCTTAAATTGATATATGTACAAAATGTTAAATAAAGAGATAGCAGTTTTATTTTAACAAAAATACAAATTTTAATTGTGTCAGAAAAATTAAGCTAAGATTCAGTAGGCAAAATAAAGTACAGAACACAGTACAAAATTAGACCCTACACATCTCAACTCACCAATAGGTCTGTCCAACCTAATAAGCCTCAGGTAAGGCTTTAAATTTGATGGAGCAGCTTCAACTATGCCTTGTGGGCTGAGAGTGAAAGACCTTCTTGACTGCTGCTGCTGTCCCGGTGGCTTCTTTTTTGTTAGAGGAGGGGTCGTTCCAACAGCACATTGTGGGACCTTGACTACGGGCACCAATGCCCTGGGCTGTGTTCTCATGATCAGGCTGGTCTTCATATGTGGATCAACACCTATGTTATGCCAATGTCTATCACATGATATTTGTCCCAATGATGTGGTTCTACTGTGATGGTGTAAGTGTGAGAAGTCTCTCCAATTTGTTGATTGTGTATTACAATAACCATGTAGTTTGTCATTTGAATTGGAATGTGTTCTATTATGAGCTGACAACTGTTTTGATGCATTTAAAAGACACCTGTGCTGCTGGTTATGTTCCAAATATTTTATACCACTTGTTCTTGCTTTTCCAAACACACACATTCCACTTGTGCTGTACATTCTACAGTGACTAGATATTTTAAGGAGGAAGTCTAACTTCTTTCTGGACAGCTTCTTAATAGCTAGAGAGCCCATTATCACTGGTATGTTGACTTCTTCACATTTACAGAAACATATAGCTGTCCAATCTCTGAAATGACAAAAAGTGCCAGCTGTAGTAGTTATCATAAAATAAGTACAAGTTGTCATGCTTAATTTTTTGAGCTAAATTGATATAAAGCAATGTAGTATCACATAAAATGCAGCTGTCTAAAATAATTTTGACTAACATTCTGCTTATTCACCATGTTCAACACATACCTACTTGTTCAACCTTTTCAAGCTCCATCAAACATGCATGAGTGTCATGGTCTTAAAAAACACCCTTACATAATATTAATTTCTTTGTAATCTGCCAGTTTGGACTAAATTAACACAACTAACTAGAGGATCAGAGAGGCGATACCGCCTCCGGATGTTGTACCACCAGCTGGAGTAAGCGCATTCGTATGGACCCCCCCCCTCCAAAAAGGGACACCATCACCAGTCTTGTGCTTGACAAGCTCTATAAGATGCAATCAATAAGAGTTCTCAAAATATGCAAAAAAATATAACAAACAATGGTACAATCAAGCAGATTTTCGAATTGACTTGCATTTTCCTACCCTTGATCACTCCTGTATTCTCTAGACAAAAGGCCTATTGGTTTTCCTTGAAAAGTGTTGTCAATGGTGCATATATGCTGACAAAAGAGAAAACCTAGGGGCAACAAGGGGCACATCTCTGCTAGTTTTAAAGATATGAGAGGCAAGAAAATATGCAAAGCTCAGTTCATGGTGAAAAAGTAGGTCAAAGGTCAATTTCAATATCATAGTACAGTATATGAATTTCTATTCAAGTTCAATAGCAACCATGGGCATTTCTTTGCCAATTTTGCAGATTTAAAGGCCTGAAAACATGCAAAAAGCAGTTCATCATAAAAAGTAGGTCAAAGGTCAATTT